CACATTTCTTCTTGTCATTCTTTTTCTTGAAGTTCGTGTGTTGTACAACCTTGTTCTTTCTATCAAACTTTGCTTTACCATCAAACTTGCCCTTGTTCTTGAACTTGTGGGGCTGGAAATTTTTCTTCTGTACCAGATTGGCACTAGATCCCCCTTCAATACCTCGAGCACGTGTGTCCTTTGCTCTCGCATTTTCTTCCACATCAAGAGTACCAATGAGATCCGAAACGGAAAACTCCTGCCTCTTATGCTTCAGTAAGGTAGCAAAGTTCCTCCACGAAGGAGGAAACTTGGTGATGATGCCTCCGCAACAAACTTGTCCGGTAGCATACAATTGAAGTGCTCAAGTTCTCTAGCAAATGACTGTATCTCGTGAGCTTGCTCAACCACGGAGCATTCTTCAGTCATCCTGTAGTCATAGAATTGTTCCATGATGTACAGCTCAATGTCGGCATCCGAGACCCAAACTTGGCCTCGAGTGCGTCCCACATATCTTTTTCATTGTCAATTGACGCATAAGCATCAACTATGTTCTCACCAAGAACACTCAACAGAGCAGCCTTAAACAGAGTAACCACTAGGGACCCAATTACTTTTCAAAATATTACAGGGACCCAATTGCTTACTAAAAACATCTGCAATGACCCAATTGTTTTTTCAAAAAAATCAGGGACCGATTGCTTTCTAAAAATATTTGCAGGGGTTGTTCTGTAAAAAAGGCCTGACATGTGGCACTCACCCGTCATAACGGTCAAAGCTAAATGTGTTAGCTTTTATGCCACGTCAAACATGACGAGTTGACCTGGTCTGTCATAATCACGATTAAAATTAACCAGACCATTCATTAGTGCAGCATGGTAGTTTTTTGAAATAAAAAACCAACATTTTGGTAGGTATTAGGAACTTTTCAAAAAGCAGTAGTTTTTCATAATCCTAATTCGAATTATGGTAATTTTATGCTATTTACTCCAGATCCAGTCGCAGGCTGCCAATTGCTTTGGGGTGTCCAAATCAAGATTGTTGTTTGGATATCCTGATCAGTCTGGAGACACAGCATGCACCATCCCATAATCGTCAAAGTGATCAGGAAAAGGATACAGGGCAACCTGGTGCATGTAGCTCCTGCTTGCGCAGGGTCCAGGGAAGGATCCGACCATTTTGGGTCTATAGTATGCAGCCTTTCCCTACATTTCTGTAAGAGGCTGTTTTCAGGACTTGAACCCATGACCTCATGGTCACAAGGCAGCAGCTTTACCACTGCGCCAAGGCTCCCCTTCAGGAAAAGGATACAGCTTGCAACCAATTAATCTAAACAAGTATTATGTGCTTGTGAGCTGTGTCCATCTAATATAAATCATTACTTTGCTAACATGCCTGTCATTGTACCTAAGATTAGCTGTGTAATGCGAGGATTTGTCAACTCCTGCCAAATGTACATGTACAGAACTTAAGTAGTCAGCGTCTTTCTCAGGCTCAAATACTGTAGTTGTTCCTTGTTCTCAACATTGTACACAAACATATATATGTTTATACCAGTAGAATTTGAGTCTCCATTTTCCATTTGGAAATCAGTGTCACTGTTTACCTCAGCAAACGATTTAGGAACATGGCCCAAAAGGACTTAACCTATTATAAAGGGAAAAGTATATTTTTCATCCTCAAACTCTATTGGAAGTATAAAAATGATCCTTCAACTTTGAAACCAGCAAAACTCAGTCCTCCAATTTATCAAACCGGATTAGTTTAGTCTCTAATACCGTTTTTTGTGGTTTCCTGCTGACATGAAGCTGCTTTTGACTAAAACTTGACACGTCATACAAGTTTGACCCCCGTGTAACTGTCCTTGAACTCGCCACGACGCCGGTGGGCTAGCAAGGAGCGCCCGGCGCCAGTGGCCACGGCCTGCAGGATGAGCCACAGCGAGTAGAAGCAGCCCATGTCGCAGTTGCCGCTGCCGTCGGCGAGGTTAAGATGGGTGGTTGGCCAGGGTGTGACCTGGGCGTCCTTATGTAAGGTGAGGAGCATGGCGCTGCCTAAGTGCCCATGCCGAGGAGTTCATGGAAACTGCCTCGTACAACACGGCCAGGAGGTTCATGGAAACTGCCTCGTGCAACATGGCATGCCGAGCAGGTGACCTTGGCATGGCCTGCGATGGTGCGGACGGCGAGGCGCTCTTAGCGGAGTTCACGTCGGACAACACGCTGCAGCATTGCTTTGCTGTCGCAATTGGTTCACCTTCATGCTTTGTTTACCTTTAAAAAATAATTCCAGCGGTAACCACACCAATCCCTGAACGAGAAGCAGAAGCAAAGATCTCATAATCTTCAGACAGCAACACCTGCCCGGTTGAGATAACATTCCGAATATCCTATATATATGCAACTCATGTCAAGAATAAACTATTACCGTATCTTGGACACAAAAAGCGAACCAGGGAGATGAACTAGTGATGCTCCGGTACCAATCTGAGCTAGATAGCCCAGTCTTTCCACCTCAGGGGCCCTGTACCACCTGCGTCAGGACATATGCCATCAGGATAACCCCTGCTCAATGGAGCATAACAAATGGAACTCTGTTTGCCGAGAAGAATATATGTGTGCAGTGAACCGGTACAGTGTGTGTCCAGCATCAGTGGGAAAGCTGCATGATTGGCAATGCTGGTAGATCGGAATAGATTTTAAACAGATGTGCCCACTTCCCATTGGAAAGTTTGTGTGTATGGCCAGTGTTGGTTCCAGGCCCATGCATCCAGCCAATGCACCCCCCACATTGCACTCATCTCCAAAAGCAGGGAGGAAGATCTGGACCTCTAAATCTAACAGAGACCTGCACTATGTTACCAGCTCAGGCCTTCTTCAAGCAGCAGTATAGGCACATCTTGTAGGAAAAAAATTCACGGTGCAAGCCAGGAGCTCTGCCGATTACATTAAGATAGAAAAAAAAATACAAAGTGACCTGGTTTATGAGGAAAACTAGGCCGAAGCCACAATGCCTGGCGAAAACCAAAGAAAAACAGAAAAAAGACACTAGAACTTGGCGGTAGGGACTAGAACAACACACGCACACACATCAAGAAGCATCATCTTAACTGGACGGAAGAGCGCCAAGACCCAAAACTAACAAACGAAGCTCGAGAGCAACCAATCTAGCCACCACACTCTCGAAAAGACTCGTCCATACCGAGCCTAGGCAAAAGGCTCTAACAACCTATGCTCTGTCTGCTTGGCCGTTGGGATGTTGCACGCATTGTTCTTCTTTTCTAGACGCTCCCTACGTCGATGTGAGAGAGGGGCACTATCTTTCTCCGATTACAAGGACGTCCATGTCCCAAACAGAGGGCGTGGAACCACACGAGCAACCTTACTGAGAAAATTCCCCATAGAGATTGGTGGTGCAACAACCCGGGTCACCTCAACAACATCACTCCTCTCCTCAACCTGATTCACCTCAACAAGTTGTTGAGGTGATTGCTTCAGGTAACATGATGCAATTATCGAAATTTTAGCAACAGTATAGATTGTAGGAAATTAACAGCTGCAACTACAAGATTTTACTACTTGAAATCAATCACAGTTACAGTCTTTGTAGGTCACATTTTTTCCAGCAGTAGTGATGCTTATTCATTAAGGAGTGAAAGGATACAAAGTAGAGTTTTAAAAGAATATAAAGTATTTTCCAGCTGTTCTAAACTGATAGTAAAAAGGGAAAAAAAGGAAGATGCTCCCTCATCTCATCAGAGATGGCATTTTCCAGATTGTGGCTACTCAAAACTCGTATCAAAGAAGATTCATCCTTCATTTTTAAGAGAAAGCACCTCTTTTTTTACACAACCTTCTTAATCAGGCGGTCTCATCAAGCAGTGACAAAGAAAATGGTAAGCAATCATTATGCTTTTCATCCATTTTATTTATTGACAGTTTTTCGCATTTCCATGAGTAAGCACAAGTACACAATAGTTCAACCAGCAAAAATGTTTATAGGAATCGATGAAATTTGTGGCATACCAAAGTGGCCTGAAACCTCCATTTCTTTAAAGGATCGCATAGTATGGTTTGGAGAAAGTCCAAGTGTGTGCATCTGCTGGACACCACATACCGAGAACTCCACTACAAGTAAAAGAGAGTTGGTGCATGCTTGTAAGTCACAGCTCAACATCGAGATAATATTAGTACTTGATCTGGAGCAAGATCCGAATCCTTCTGAGTAGGCACTGTGTCAGCTGACCAGATCAAAATTATAAGAAGATAAGTAAAGAAGGAAGGTGCTTTCTCAGCATTTGGTTTATCTCTGATCAGATGGAGAGAAAATGCTTTAATTTCACATCAGATTCCTAATCAGGTGGTCTCCTCAAGCAGTGACAGTAATCAATCATTATGTTTTTAATCTACTTGTCGATGATTATTCGCATTTTCACCGGTAAGCACAGCTCTAGCTCGTATCGAATTAAATGCGCCCTCCATGTGGAAGGAAAAACATTTCCATTTCACATATCAGATTCTTAATCAGGTTGTCTCCTCAAGCAGTGACAGTAATCAATCATTATGTTTTTAATCTACTTGTCGATGATTATTCGCATTTTCACCGGTATGCACAGCTCTAGCTCGTATCGAATTAAATGCGCCCTCCATGTGGAAGGAAAAACATTTCCATTTCACATCAGATTCTTAATCAGGTTGTCTCCTCAAGCAGTGACAGTAACCAATCATTATGTTTTTAATCTATTTGTGGATGATTATTCCCATTTTCACCGGTAAGCACAGCACCGTGACAGTCGGCTCCCCGCTCCCGGGGGCCTTATAAATAACCGGCCAAGTTGCCTACAATTTACCAAGACACTCTGAACACGCAACACACTTTGGAGCTTGATAGTGAGTGTGCTCCAGCGAGTGACGCCGCCACAGCAAACTCTCTCGGCATACAAAACTAGTACCAGTAGTAAACAACAGAGCAGAGAAAGAATATAAGTTCTTTGAAGGGCCGGAGAGGTAACTGTAGGGGAAATGGATGTTGAGTCGTCGAGGCAACAAGGTCCCAAGGGGGACGCCAGCTCCAACTCCATGGCTGCGGCCTCCGAGGTCTCTGTGGACTGGAGGGGCAGGCCTTGCAGGCCTGAAAGGCATGGAGGCATGAAGGCTGCTGTGTTAGTCCTAGGTGTGCATCCATCCATCCATGCTTCTGTCTCCTTTCTTCTTGATTCACCATGTATGTTGATGTGCTCTGTTCTTGTCCTTTGATTGTTGGTGTAGGGATCCAGGCGTTCGAGATCATGGCGATCGCGGCGGTGGGGAACAACCTCATCACCTACGTGTTCAACGAGATGCACTTCCCGCTGTCCAAGTCGGCCAACATCGTCACCAACTTCATAGGCACCATGTTCCTCCTCTCCCTGCTCGGCGGCTTCCTCTCCGACTCCTACCTCGGCAGCTTCTGGACCATGCTCATCTTCGGCTTCGTCGAGCTCTCAGTAAGCTACCCACCGTAAAATCAGCAACAAAAAGGGTAATTTCTTTTGTTTTTCTACTATAAAACTATCAAAGGCACGGGAAAAAATTCAAGCAGCGAAAGGCTAGTGCGTGCGACTTTAAAGTTTTAACTGACAGAAAAATGAAAAGATTGTGGCGACAGACAGATGGGATTGGCATGTAACAAAAATGTTGGCAAGATAATAAGCAAGTAAAGGTGAAAGAAGATGGTGCCATTGTGGGAGCAAATCATGGCCGGCTGCAACTGCCGTCTAGTGCGCCTTCAGTGGGCGGCCGGCCAAGACATCAATCCACTCTTGCTAAAAGGAGGAAACTGAAAATTATATCTCTTTTTCCTTTGGTGCATCAATGGCTATTGGCTACCAGTCTACCACCAGGTTTTCTAAAGAGGATTGGCTTTTTTTGGCATTTTGCAGGGGTTTATACTGCTGGCGGTGCAGGCGCACCTGCCGCAGCTGCGCCCGCCGGCGTGCGACATGAAGGCGGCCGGGCAGTGCGAGGAGGTGGCCGGGGTGAAGGCCGGCATCTTCTTCGCCGCGCTCTACCTGGTGGCGCTGGGCAGCGGGTGCCTCAAGCCCAATATCATCGCCCACGGCGCCGACCAGTTCCGGCGGGACGGCGAGGATCAGGCCGTCGATGGCGGGAAGCGGCTCTCCAGCTACTTCAACGCGGCCTACTTCAGCTTCTGCGTGGGCGAGATGGTGGCGCTCACCGTGCTTGTCTGGGTGCAGACACGCTCCGGGATGGACGTCGGTTTCGGGGTCTCTGCCGCCGCCATGGCGGTCGGCCTTGTCAGCCTCGTCGCCGGCGTCTTCTTCTACCGGAACAAGCCACCGCAGGGCAGCATCTGCACGCCCATAGCAAAGGTACGTACGTCGTATCAACAGGGAGCAGTGCTCAGCCAAAGTTACCATGGGCATTCAATTTTTTTTTAATCGAACCATTGCCCTTATTTACACAAAATAAATCTTTTGTGGACGTACACTGTGGACTGAAGTCTGCCCTCTTGGTCACAAATATCAGGAAGAAATAGGCCATTTTTGTGCTACACAAGAATGAAAATATAAAGGGCCGGGTTTCGATTATGTGTGGAAAAACATTTCACTGAAGAAAAAGGTTATAAACATTAAAATGCTGAGATTAATTTTTGCATCCTGGATGCACAGCCCGAATTGTTGAGCATATTCCGGGCGCCTTTCCAAGCGCAAGAAATTTGCCCAAAACAATCAAATTTGTTCATGTTGGAATCCTCCTGAAAAGGGAATACTTTCCAAAGGGTTTAGTGGGATTTATTAAGTAGACTCCACAACGGCCAATGGCCCTAGCAATACGTATGTGCACTAGCTACATGTATATATAATATGTACTTAGGCACAGTATAAATGTGGGAAATATTTGGGTGAATAGGCATGTGTGTGTATCCAACATGTTTAAACAAGAAAAGCCTGACCATGTACGTATCATCATCATGATTCCTTGTTTAGAAAGCACTCCTGCTGAATCTGGCCTGATATGCTGCTTTAGGTGTAAAGAACCGCCGGCCAGTGATATTTAATCTACAAAACCTTGACCCAAAAGTCACACAACAAAAAGCTTTTCAAGAAAAATCATTTACAGAGAGAAGCAATTTGTTTAGTAAGATATGCTACATCTGAAATGAAATATTTTGCTTATTATCAATGTGGTGCGCACACGAATGGGTTCTTAATCAAGATCCCATAAAGCACACGAAACTCATATATTTGGCAAAAGTGGATGATATTCTAAATAACGTAAAACTCCATATATGTGGTGGTAAATATATTTGCCACATAATTTATATCACACACCTTTCCCTTTTTGGTGGGACAAGTTGACAAGGGCTAGTGGCACTTCTTTTGAGTGGGTCACAAAAACAGCCGCTCATATCTCCTATTGGAAGGTGCATGTGAATGTGATTATTAATCACAGAACTCGTAGGCCCATTCTGTTATGCTTGTGATGCATCAATCATGGAGGTGTGTGATATCGGTGACATGCATGCCCAAATGGGACACCACCTACCTAGCTTTCTTATTCTTGGAACCAACATTTACTTACAATCAATCTTTTGCAAGTTACATTTCTCCGTAAGCTCATGAAAATCCAACTAAAAGAATTCATGAAAATCACAACACCACACAGGCTAGGATAGTTATATTTTCCTTTGTCTGAAAATGAGAATCAATGTGTCTAGGTCTTCGTCGCCGCGGTAGCCAAGAGGAAGCAAGTGTGCCCATCGTCCAGGGCCACAGTGCAGGGCATGTCCTCCACGGGTGCACATGAGACGCGTCTCAACACCACCAATATCTGCCGCATCAATAAGTTAAGGTAATTAAGGATTTAATTTTACATAGACATGCACACATGATGGCCTCGGGCTGGCGTGTTTGCATGCCTTGTTCTATCGTTCAGTTTTTCTTACCAAATGGTCAATGCTGTTCTTCTATATATGAGAAGACAGAGCTCGTGTCGGTTGCTTGAAAAAAAAACACATGAGAAAGTCATTTGCAATATGTCGCTTTAAAAAATCTTGAAGAGGGCAAATCTAGAAGATTTATCGCCTAATTTTTGAATGGATTACAGGCTTCCCTTTTTTTGGGATAAATTCGCTCAGAATAAACTTCTCTGAAATTTTCTAGAATTTTGTACTGATTATTCTTGACAGAGCTCTCAGTTTCCTTCGTTTGCACGTTTTAATTTAGGTTCTTGGACAAAGCGTGCGTGAAGGCGCAGGACGGTGGCAGCAAAGAGAGCGAGTGGGGGCTGTGCACGGCGGCGGAGGTGGAGCAGGTGAAGGTGCTGCTGTGCGTGGTGCCCATCTTCGCGTGCACCATCGTCTTCAACACCATCCTCGCGCAGCTTCAGACCTTCTCCGTGCAGCAAGGGAGCGCCATGGACACCCGGCTCGCCGCCAACTTCCACGTCCCGCCGGCGTCGCTCCAGGCCATTCCCTATATCATGCTCATCGTCCTCGTCCCGGCCTACGAGGCCGTCTTCGTGCCCGCCGTGCGCCGCCTCACGGGGGTCGGCACGGGCATCACGCCGCTCCAGCGGATCGGGGTCGGCCTCTTCGCCGTCACCTTCTCCATGGTGGCCGCCGCGCTGGTCGAGGCCCGCCGCCGTCACTCGTCCGTCTCCGGAGACGGGCGAGCGCTGTCCATCTTCTGGATCGCGCCGCAGTTCCTGGTGTTCGGGCTGTCGGAGATGTTCACGGCCGTGGGGCTCATCGAGTTCTTCTACAAGCAGTCGCTCTCCGGCATGCAGGCCTTCCTCACCTCCATGACCTACTGCTCCTACTCCTTCGGCTTCTACCTCAGCTCCGTGCTGGTGTCGCTCGTCAACAGGGTGACCTCGAGGAATGGCGGAAATGGCTGGCTCAGCAACAACGACCTCGACAAGGACAGGCTAGACCTCTTCTACTGGCTCCTGGCCGCGCTCAGCGTCCTCAACTTCTTCAACTTCCTCTTCTGGTCGAGGTGGTACTCCAACAGCGTCGAGACGGTGCAGGTTGCCGGAGTTGGAGGCGATGGTGGCAGCAGTGAGCAGGAGGATGAGAAGGGCTCTGCGTGATCAGTATGCATTATTAGTGGATTATTAATCAATTAACCTTAGTGTTTTTACCTTGTATTTATATCTATGGCTCTGCCTTGTATCGGAAGTAGTGTCTAGATGTGTGTATGGGTCTCATCAACTAATTAACGAAGTGTTGCACATGTGGTTAGTTATTAATTAGTCCTGGCTAGGTACAGGTTAAAGGGTGTGTAGTGTAATGGTGCAACACCTGCAGCATGAGCAGTTGTGGGTAGGGAACTAGGGACCAAGACATCAAGTAGCCGGTCCTGCATTAGATCAGCTCGCTATCATGTACTAAGAAGGCTGTGTAAATAGTAAATAATTGGCCAGAAAAAGGCACTAAGTTATCCTCTGCCACATGAACACGTGGTACGGTTATGCTGATCCGATTAATATTGTTTCGAGATACAATTTTTTTTCTTTGAGTAAAAGAGAGGCCGCCCTCTCGGATTTCATTTGTAGAAATCAAGGTCTTTGCTTTTAGAATGAAAACTACCCTACTTAAGCTACCAAAGTAGCCAACGTCCAGAGCATGTCTCCCGCAAAAAAAAAAAACATCCAGAACATGCCATACCATTTTTCTTTTACATTGTTGGGCTACGAAGAACCACAACACAGGGCCACGGATCATGCAAGATCCCCATACCACGGAGGCCAGTTTGAGACTGGAACCGCTTCAAAACCAACCAGATTCCAAACATAATTGACCAGGAGAACAACTAGAAATAAGAAAAAGGTCTAGCGGCAAAGAGCAACCAACAGCTGCAAGGCAAGAACTCAACAGGAGCAAAGTAGCAGTTCAGCTAGCCACCAATCTGAAGAACTTCACGCCTCCACCCTTGCGATGCCCCGTACACTTCACTTGTTATTCGCTTTATTATTTTTGCCCCCAGCATCAGCACATTTTACCGAGATACAATTTTGACCAACATCCGAGCACTAGTAGAAAAACTACTTTACGTGAGACACATTAGTCCCGGTTTATAAATGAATCGGCACTAATGGTATCATTAGTCTCGGTTCGAACGGCTATGCATTAGTCCCGGTTCATTTGTGACCTATAGTACCGGTTGGTGGCTCCAACTGGTACCAAAGGGATGATGACCTTTAGTACGGGTTGGTGGCTCCAATCGGTACTAAAGACCCCCCCCCCCTTTAGTATCGGTTGGAGCCACCAATCGGTATTGAAGATGGTGCGCTGCCATCTGCAGTGCACAATGTTTAGTCTCACCTCGTTAGTTGAGAGGAGCTGATCGTAAGATATTTTTTTGAAATTATACGCTATGTTCACCAACATTTTTGTATGTTATTCTATAAGCCCAAAGGGCATCATCTAATTTTTTAGACCAATTCTTCCGAGACCTATTGACAGTCTTTTATAAAATTAATTTTATTTCTTTATTGCTAAGTTCAACTTGACCACTAGACTGAGGATGATAAGGTGATGCAATTCTATAGTTAACATCATACTTGGCAACCATTTTACGGAAAGCACCATGAATAAAGTGCGAACCACCATCAATCATTAAATATCTAGGGACTTCAAACCTTGAGAAAATAACTTCCTTAAGCATTTTAATAGAGGTGTTGTGATCAACACTACTAGTTGGAATAGCTTCTACCCATTTAGTAACATAATCAACAACAACCAAAATATGTGTATATCCATTAGAGGAAGGAAAATGTCTCATGTAATCAAATCCCCAAACATCAAATGGTTCAACGGCAAGTGAATAATTCATAGGCATTTCTTGACGCTTACCGATATTACTTATTCTTTGGCATTTATCACAAGATAAGACGAACTTACGGGCATCCTTGAGGAGAGTAGGCCAACAAAATGCAGATTGCAATACCTTGTGATCAGTCCTGTCTCCAGCATGATGCCCTCCATAAGCTTCGGAGTGACATTTCCGTAGGATTTGTCCCTGTTCATGCTCAGGTACACAACATCTAATAATACCTGAAGGAAATATGCCCTAGAGGCAATAATAAAGTTGTTATTTATATTTCCTTATATCATGATAAATGTTTATTATTCATGCTAGAATTGTATTAACCGGAAACTTAGTACATGTGTGAATACATAGACAAACAGAGTGTCCCTAGTATGCCTCTACTTGACTAGCTCGTTAATCAAAGATGGTTAAGTTTCCTAACCATAGACATGTGTTGTCATTTGATGAACGGGATCACATCATTAGAGAATGATGTGATGGACAAGACCCATCCATTAGATTAGCATAATGACCGTTTAGTTTTATTCCTATTGCTTTCTTCATGACTTATACATGTTCCTCTGACTATGAGATTATGCAACTCCCGAATACTGGAGGAACACCTTGTGTTCTATCAAACATCACAACATAACTGGGTGATTATAAAGATGCTCTACAGGTGTCTTCGATGGTGTTTGTTGAGTTGGCATAGATCGATATTAGGATTTGTCACTCCGTGTATTGGAGAGGTATCTCTGGGCCCTCTCGGTAATGCACATCACTATGAGCCTTGCAAGCAATGTGTCTAATGAGTTAGTCACGGGATGATGCATTACCGAACGAGTAAAGAGACTTGCCGGTAACGAGATTGAACTAGGTATGATGATACCGACGATAGAATCTCAGGCAAGTAACATACCGATGACAAAGGGAACAACGTGTGTTGTTATGCAGTTTGACTGATAAAGATCTTGATAGAATATGTCGCCAATATGAGCATCCAGGTTCCGCTATTGGTTATTGACAGGAGATGTGTCTCGGTCATGTCTACATAGTTCTCAAACCCGTAGGGTCCGCACGCTTAACGTTCAATGACGATTTGTATTATGAGTTATGTGATTTGATTACCAAAGTTTGTTTGAAGTCCCGAATGAGATCACGGACATGACGAGGAGTCTCGAAATGGCCGAGAGGTGAAGATTCATATATTGGAAGGTTATATTCGGACACCGGAATGGTTTCGGGAAGTATCGGATAAGTTTCAGAGTACGGGGGGTTACCGGAACTCCCCCCGGGAAGTTAATGGGCCACACATGGGCCTTAGTGGAGGAGAGAGGGCCGGCCAGGGAGGTGGCGCCCCCTTTCCCTCCCCTACTCCTTCTCTCTTTCCCTCTTTACTATTCCGAGAAAGGAAAAAGGAGAGGGGAATCCTACTTGGACTAGGGAGTCCTAATAGGACTCCCCACACCTGGCGCGCCCCCCTTGGGCCGGCCACCTCTCCCCCCTTTATATACGTGGGAGAGGGGAACCACAAAGGGACACCAAGTCTTCTCTTAGCCGTGTGCGGTGCCCGCCTCCACAGTTACACACCTCGGTCATATCGTCGTAGTTCTTAGACGAAGCCCTGCGTCGGTAACTTCATCATCACCGTCACCATGCCATCGTGCTCACGAAACTCTCCCTCGTCCTCAAATGGATCAAGAGATCGAGGGACGTCATCGAGCTGAACGTGTGCTGAACGTGAGGTGCCGTACGTTCGGTGCTTGGATCGGTTGGATCGCAAAGACATTCGGCTACATCAACCATGTTACTAAACGCTTTCGCTTTCGGTCTATGAGGGTACCTGGACACACTCTCCCCGCTCGTTGCTATGCATATCCTAGATAGATCTTGCGTGATCGTAGGTAAAATTTTAAAATACTGCGTTCCCCAACAATGGCATCCGAGCCAGGTCTATGCGTAGATGTTATATTCAAGAGTAGAACACAAAGAGTTGTGGGCGATAATAGTCATACTGCTGACCAGCAACATCTTACTTTGATTCGGCGGTATTGTTGGATGAAGCGGCTGTCGGTGTCAAAACCGGCGGATCTCGGGTAGGGGGTCCCGAACTGTGCGTCTAAGGTTGATGGTAACAGGAGGCAGGGGACACGATGTTATAACCAGGTTCGGGTCCTCTTTATGGAGGTAATTGTGGCACCCCGGCTCAGAGCGACCGGTTTACCCTGCATTGCCAGCCCAGAGACCACGTCTTCTGGCAACACACACCATATTGGTACAGAAAACAACCGCTTTATTGATGCTAGCAGAACAGAGTTCACATTACAACAGCGGTCGAGGCTAAGCGGCACACTCGGTGCGGCTGAACAATATGTACATTATTTATTGAACATAAAGGGGGCCTCGATCCGAATAACTACGTGGCAGCGGAATAACGTTGTAGCGGGAGCTCCATATCACAGGGACACCGATGTGGACACGATCTAGACTTGAACAGCGCTCCTTTCCAACGAGACTTTCATGAAATCTGGCATGACACGCCAGGTCAGTACATTGAATGTACTTGCAAGCTCACAACAAGCATAATCATAATGACAAACAATATCATGCTAGTTAACCAATTAAAATGCAACACTATATGTCAACATGGTGTGATCATACTTGAACGTCCCTCGGGACAACTTACCAACCGTGATCATCCTCAGATCACAAACACCACCAACGTGGTACAACACACCACCAACGTGGTAAAACACACCACCAACGTGGTTTTTAACAACATGACTCATGATCCTTACGGCGATCACAACCCCGACCAATATATGGTCACAAATTTCTCGATGGCCTTTCTACCATCCTAGACAATGCAAAGTCTTACAGTTTACGATGCAATTTTTATTAATCATTGACTCATGGTGGGACCTACTATGAGGTGTCCGTAACCATGGACGCGGCTATAGATAGATTATACACTCTGCAGAGGTAACACACTGTACCCACACCACGGAACCCATGGCCTCGCACTCCCATTTGGGTGGACCAACAGCATTCCGACGAAACCCCTCCATTGCCACAGCACTCTCCCGGCCACTCCGACCCAAATCCCCACTGGGCTGGTCCTGGGTGGCCCCGTGTCTACCAAAGACACCCCGACCATCGTCGTGGTCAAACTCCCACTCAGGGACACTCCCACTTGGGGAAATCGGTACCATAATCTCATCAACGAGCACACAAGGTTATGTCTGCTTGCCGGGCCAGGGAAAACACGACATAACCTTC